AACAAGAAACTATGGTAACAAACTAACCAAGACACTATCGTTCAAGAAATATGTGGAAAAAAATGGAGATGGATTGGGTGCACACGGAGGAGGCCATCGAATGACAGGCCTTTGATTGAGTGAAATCCCAGTGGGGAACGAAGAGTAGGTTATCAGTGCAAGGGTGACATAGAGGAGATGGTGTGGCGAGGAGGAGATGAGAGATAATGGGTGATTGAGTGGATGACCAGCTGTAGAGGACAGCAAAAAGTAGAAGAAAGTGGAGTTGCGTTGTTGAAGCCCACCTATCTTCCCCTCGGAATCCAAGGAAATAATGATAATGTAGAAGTGTGTGTGGGAGGAAGAATAGTAACATGAAAAAGCATGTGGGTTTTATTAGATCTGGAAGAGTACAAAAAGTGAATGCATCTGCGCCGCCATCGAGAACAATTTCTGAAACATGATTCATAACGTCTGGATGAACCCCACCCTCTCAGATGGTGTACTTCTTCCTATGTGGCTCAAACACCAACTAGTCAAAGACTTCATGGATTAATGTAGTGTTCTAATTTGAGCACACATAGCTCTTTTCCGACCCAATTCCAAGCCATATAACTACGATGAATAAGGAGGGCAATGACTTAACATGTATAATGCCACGTGCCCTGGCTATCTCAATCGATGTAACTTCACAGCCTAATCGATTGCCTTACTCTCCTCACCCAAAAACTTTACTCTTAACTCCCAAAATTACTCATCACACTGTACAACTTAACATTGGAGATGGAACGCAAAAAGTAGTGGTCATATACATTCAGCTCAATCACATCTTCCATTTTCAATGGCTTTGTTTAACAGTCGTGAATGAGGACAGAGTGAACTTCTGGTGTTCAGTACACACGTTCTTTTCATGAGTAGTCGGATATCACATCAACGTTGGAGTTAGAAAATGCTACATGAAACCCTTTTGTATCTGTTATCAGATATCGTCCGTGCGTCAGGACTGATACAACTTCTTAAATAAGTGAAGTGGTCGTCACGCTCTACGATGACACTCTTGGCCCTCAACTTAGCCATTCGGTGCAGTCCAGTCCTGCAGCATTATCATCTTACATTTGACAAGGGTAAATCGCATGCTAAATCTCCGATGATTACTACTCCTCAGGGTGTGCGGAATACCTCTGTATTTTATCAGCATCGTAACTTTGAAGACAGTATAAAACAGTGACTGTGCGTAAACGTTCGATGATACGTTTGGATAGCAACCGTTGGGTACGACTGACTTACCTAACTGTACACGAGCAGGTGAATTGGTAGATGGCACATTGATGAGGCTGGCCAACAGTCGTAGCTTATTCTTCACGTTCATGCGAATCATTGGTTTCATAGAGAAGATTAGTCGGAGTTCAACCACGAAGAAGGTTGTCTTCAATGAAGAGGACACGTGGTTTCTCACTATTTCTACGGATGAATCCCCTTCGAACTGTAGAATCAGGTAGAGAAGTTTTTTGGAAGCAGAGAGTGTGGGTGGTTTTGTTGGTTTAGGCTTCATAGATTTTCTGATAAAACGTTCTTGGTAGCCACTTTCTAGGAGGATTCTCTTCAGAATGTTTAGCTTCTCTTCCATAGTATCAGAGCTGCAAATGCTGCGAATTCTGTGGCTCAGTGAGCGGATCAGGTTTCGTTTTGTATATATATATATATATATATATATATAGAGAGAGAGAGAGAGAGAGAGACATCCAACTGTGAAAGTTAGTAAGTTGTCCGTTCCAGTGTCGGCTTTCTGTAGATGAATCTTTTTTAGTATTCCATCTTGTTCACATCTTGTTAATTGGACGTCCAGAAAAGATATTTTTTAAATGTCGGATTCCTTCTCTAGTGTGAACTGAATTGCTGGATAACAGCTACTGAAGAAGTCAAAGATGTGTACAGCTTGAGAATGATATCGCCGAAAAGAGTGACTCTTCTCTGAACGCCTTTACTTTCAAGTCGCTCAAATCCATTAGTACTTTTATGGTGAAATGAAACAAAAATGGGAACTGTGAACATCTCTTATGAACATTTGGCTTGGAAACTCTCCGTAAGCTCTTACATAGTTGTTTGAGATCCAGCGTAGAGTGCCGTGATTAGTAGTGCGATATACCATCTCGACACTCCCTTCGCTGATGGTTGCTTCTCACTGGCTTACGTATGTAATTGATCCTGATTATATGACGTTTTGTAGGATGTATATATATATATATATATATATATATATTAGGAAAGGAGAGAATCTTAATTTTCTGTCTGTATGAGTGTATATATGTATGTTTGTGTGCGTTCGTTCGTTTCGTAAATTTCTATACTTTATATTAGCAAAACTGAGATCTTGTTTCTATGTCTTTTTAATTTCAAGTGTTTTAGCTATCCATGCATTACCAGCTTCCTCTCTTTCTTGTAGATGTGTATGTATGGATGTGGGTTTGTGTTTGTGTGTGTGTGCATGTTTACTCATTCATCTATATCAGCCTTTATCACTTTTTTCAAAGTTTACGCATCTTCTTTTCATCACTAGACAATTTATCACACAGATTTTTTTTGTGACAATAAGGTTGCCAAAAAGAAATCATTAAAATAAATATACAACATATCTCTGTAGGAAAGGTGACTTTTATTTCCCTTCTATACAGTGGAGTGCATCTAATATCGATTTTTACACGATTATTATTATTACTACCACTATTGTTGTTCCCTTGGGTTCTGAGTAGAACAGTAGGTCTGTCTGTTTCTTTGGGTACCTGAAACAGAAAGACGGTTAGTGTTGCGTGACCACAGAGCCCAGGGGACAACTGCCTGAGGCCAGTTGGTAACACACAGCCTGTATGAAGTGGTTTCTGGGATTGGTTCCGTATTAGTAAACTTACCGCCGGTTACGGACCACCGTAGGGTAAGTCGGGATATACAATTTTTGGGGTCAACCTTTTCTAACCACCTCTCTCCGGAGTGGAGAGACAGCATAGCTGGCATGCTGGTCATCTGAGGGGAACACCTCACTGCTGTTACACCTCTGTTCCCCAGCAGTACGACTTCGCCCTCAGACCCCCAGCATAGTATAAGAGAGATTCTTACACAATGCCGGTAACTGCTTTTAGTCTAATCGCTATCCTGGCAACCTTCCTGGCATGGTAGGACCTGCAGGAACATTCGTTCCAGCCAGTGCAGCTTGTTGGGTCATTGCGATGTGCAAGCCTGACTACCACGTCATGGTAGCAGCTATCGGTCGGGCTTGTTATTATTATTATCGTCGAAGAAACTAAAGCTTAAAAGCTTTATATAACTATAAGTAACACATAACTGTCTGACAAATATCTTATTTTGGTCTGAGCGTCCCGGGCAGTAGTAGTAGTATCCCGGTCGACCCCCCACCACCACCACCCCCAACAAACGATGAGATATTTATGTGGCGTATCTCACAGCGCTCATAATATACTAAGTTTTTATTTTATTATAATCAATAAATAAATAATGAAAGGATATATATATATATATATATATAAATCACTGATATATCCTTGAGAAATGCTAACAACATAACAAACATGACTTCAGTTGGTTAAGCATGATATTCTCCATGTCACCCTCGCACTGACGACTAATTCGTCACCTCCCATGCGAGCTCCACTTGAGCGCGGTGGCCTGCATTGCGCGCAATGTCATTCGATCGCCTCCTCTGCGTATACCTGACCTATCTTTATTTTCTATATATTTGTTGAGTAATAGGCTCTTGGTTGGTTTGCCCTCAACCCTCTCTTTCTCCCCGGACTTGGGACTACTGGCTGGAAAATCGGGCGAGGTTCTATTCTCATTAGAAGGTTTTTGTTTGTTCAACCTTGTGTATGATCTTATTCTGAAGACTCAATTAGATTTCATCACGGAATAACTTCATTTAAGGTACCTATGAGAATCAGAAAAGGAATAAACAGGTGTTTCGTCTTGCGCACCTACGACTCTACCAGGAATTGAAGTATAAGACCTTTATTCGGGAGGTAAGAACATTAGTATTCAGCCACGTGGATCTGAATTTCAACTCTTACCGATTCACGATATATTGTGCCACCATTGGCCAGCCAGCATCATCATTGAGTGTCCGTTCTGGCACTGGACTTGTTGTGCTCTGCCAGTTTGGGCTTCACAGTGCACCTCCAGGAAGTACATCCTGTAGTTAGTCACTACGGAGCAATTGGGTGTAAAACATAATTAGTATTTGGTAAATTTCTTTAGCCTGTTGCAGTATAGATGCACTGTTCTTATAGTGGTGTTATGGGTTGGTTCTATATACGGCGTTCACAATTTTGTAATTCTTCCACAGACAGCATTTAACGTCATATAATAGTAGTAGTAGTAGTATGTAAAGGTTGTCATTACTTTTTATGCTTCATTTCTACGAGTCGATCACGGACTGATATCAGTTAGAGAACCGTTGAAAACCAGGGAGTACTGGACAGCTGCTGTTTCATCCCTTACAAACCAAACTATAGAAAATTAATCTGATGCTCGCTAGTGACTTGCTACAGGATGGAGTTTCCTGCAGTTCTAGTGAGAAGTCGTGACCAGTTAGGTCCAATTAGATGTCACGTGTGTGGATGGATGTCCCACCAACGATAATGGTTGGGGTCGCGCTAAATCACGAATTGGTAGAAGTTAGAATTCATGGACTGGCCATTTAATTGGGTCCCAGTGGCTGAATGGTATATGAGCTTGTCTTGTAACCGGAAGGTCCTGGGCTCGAATCCTGGCAGTGGATGCGTACTGCCGATGATTCCCAAACTAGGATGAAACAGCAGCTGTCCAGTACTCCCAGCTGGTTTTCAACGGTTCTCTAACTGATATCAGTCCGTGATCGACTCGTAAAAACATAACAAACCCTTACAAACCAAACTATAGAAAAGCTTCATTTCTGCGCAATTTCTTTTGTGATAATCTATTAACCTCTTGATGATTTCTGTTTGTTTGTTCACCTCCGCTTCGTGTTTTTTTAGAAATGGCCACCTATTTAAGATATGTCCGGAGTTTAGATTTCTTTGAAGAACCCAATTATGAATATCTACGCTGGGGATTTACAGATCTAATGCAACGAAAAGGTTGGGAATGTGATTGGGAATTCGATTGGTGTAGTCGACCATTACCTGGTGCTAAGGTAAATAAATATATATATTATGTTATGGCATACTTTTGCAAACATAAATTGTTGCTTTGGTGTTAATGAATGTTTTATTTTGAAGGTTGATCATGAGCTGATGTTTGTTAAAGGACCACTGGAAAACTAGCGGGGGTGGGGGTAGTACTACTGAACATCCAGCTGTTCCTAACGTCTTAGTGTGAGACTTTTCATCAGTACGCACCGACCGTCAGGGTCCGAATCCAGAACCTTCCGTTTACAAGGCTAGCGAGCTCTTAGGGCCATAGTGGTAATCCCCAGCCTTCACACAATAGTTGTATAACCACCTGTAGGCTGGGGTACAGAAGACCTGTTTCGACAACTCTGAGCCCAAGCATCATTGTCGTCAATTATGGATGTCAGCACTTAAATTTATATTTGTCAACTGTCAATCAAAGTTATGAAAAGCAAACGAAGCTACAGATTATTATTATTATTACTATTATTATCAACCAGTAAACAGATGTAATTGTTCCTATTTTGATATTACTTAATGTACTGAAGTGGTTTCGTGGTAGAAACGCTTGCCAACCACCCACGTGATATACGGAGTTTGATCCCCGGCCACCAACGCACTCCTCTAAACCTCACTAAACCGGCAGTAAGGTCGGTAAAGAGGGGGGGAAGGTTGAGTTAGCGTGTGAGGAGGGGCTAGAGCGACCCCACCCCATAAAAGTAAAAACCACTGCTACCGTAGCTTCAAAGCCTTAAGTTTCGCTCGAAACGTCGTCAATGAGTAAAATAATAATAAAAAAATGTACTCAAAGATGATATTCACGATCTCATGCTTGCAATGGAAGTATTTACTTCGGTTGAATTAAAATCAGTAAGTAAGTATGTAACAACAGAAGGCAAGAGTCAGGCAACAGATCATTTATTAAGGAAATCAACGCATATTTATATATTTTCATTTACATTACTATAGATATTTAAGCAAACAAACACAGTCTTCCGATTGGTTGTTTCTCACGTAAAGTTAATCTTTCATCTATTTGTGACTGTTTCTTGAATGTCAAATCCTCTGTATGTTAACTGCATCCGCCTACGCAAAGTCAATCTTTGTTCACATTTCCTCACGACAAATCTTGGGAACGTAAATATTGACGTAAATTACTGTCTACCAATTTGGCTAGTAGACAGCTCTCACCACAAGTATACATAGAATTATCAGTTGAATTGAGTATTCTGTCATTTAGATGTGTGCACAACTTAATTACAGATAGACTCGGTTGAATTTCTCTTCGTTTTGGTTATCTCGTTGGTACCGGACTATGGGCGGGTGGTCACACTACTCTGTGTGTTGCGCCCCCAAGCTAAAGTTGATTGGGGTGTGCGGGATTTGTGACCGACGGCGAGGGTGGGGTGAGGGAAGTGCGGAGCCATTGTTGTTTTATGAAAGCTTATTAAGCTTATTATAATGTTTTCCTTTTTCTCTTTCACATCTAGCCTCCAGGATCTTCACACACTTCAGGCGGTGGACAAGTCACAAATCCACCATTGACAAATCTCCCACCTGGTGGTGGTGCTGGTAATACAAGTTGTATGAATAATGGTGTACAAAATGCTTCTGGTCTTACCTCACCAACTCATCAGCATACAGTGAATGGTAATCAACAACAAACTCCTGGTGCTAGTAATGATCATGGCTTGACTGGTGGTGGTACACCCTTGTTAGGTCCTGGTGGTGGTGGTGGTGGTGTTGGATCTCATTGGCCGCCAGCACCACCACCATCACAGCTTACTGGTGGTGGACAATCAAACAACATGCCTGGCGGCGGCGGCGTCGGTTATCCAACAAATGAAGATAATGGTGTTGGGGGTGGTGGTACCTCACCGAATGAATTACGCTATAAAGTTGATGAATATTTACCTCCATATTTTGGTCAGGTCAGTTGTCTTTATTTATTATGTCTTTCCTTCCACATAGTTCATACTCTCTGTCATGTATGTGTGTGTGTGTCTTTTATTACTTTCTTATATTCCTTTATGTTCTTTAAGTCATGCGATTCGCTCCCGCCAAATGTAAGATGACGCTACAAGACTGGACTACACTGACTCCTAGTTTAGAAATAGGGAGTGAAGTGGTAGAGCACGTTGATCGCTTCACTTATTTGGGAAGTTGCATCAGCCAGCTCCAGAGGGTTGATCTCTGACGAAATTGCCAGTTTACGCCGTCTCTGGTGTAGACGTGATATCCGGCTGGCTATTGACGAAAGGGTGGGTGTACTGCTCAGCAGTCCGCTCCGTCCTCCTTTATGGCCAGCTGTGAGACCTGGCCATTGAGATTGGAAGACATAAAAAGATTAGTTGTCTTCGATCATAGGTGCCTGCGTTCCATCTCTCTTGTGAAATGGTGGTATAATAAGGTGAGCAATATTGAGATTAGGCGTCGAATGCTAGGTAAGGAGGGGAAATCAATAAACGAGGCTGTGAAGTTACACCAATTGAGATGGTTAGGACATGTGTTACGTAATGCATGCCTAGTCATCGCTTTCCTTGACAATGGGCAGTGCTAGCTGACATAGGGTCAGACTGGGAAAGAGCTAGCGGCTGTCAAACCAAAACATCACACCAGTCAATAAAGTTCACAACAGTTAGTTTAAGCCATGTAGGAAGGTGTAGACTTCCTGGTTGGGGTCCTCGAGACAGTGAAAACCAATGGCTGGAAACGATTGGTGACATGGCTCAAAATTGTTCTTAGTGATGGCTGGTGCAAATGCATCCACTCCTTGTAACTTATAATTTACAATGATACTATATTGTTCTTCATTATTATTATTCCTTTGTCTCACACCTCTGTTTACTGTCTCTAATATGCATTTCTCCTACTTTCTTGTCTTGCTTTGTGTGCTACATGGAGTGTGGCGACTTGAACTGCTGCACATCGGTGCAACGTTCTGTGTCGAAAACAGAGAGACAGACAGACAGATGTTATTTAAGTGGAACATAGGGCTTCAAGCTTTGAAGTTATCCTCCTTCACGAGGTAGGGTGGTCACTAGCTAGCCTCACGGCGGCCCATCAGTCTTACTACTACTACTACTATCTTGGCTAAGCGAGGTTGAGTGGATTAGTGCGTCACAGCTTCGGGAGTTGAACCCCCCCTCCCGGACCATGTGACCTGTGGTTGGCGGGCAGTCTATCGCTGAACCACCACTGACGTGCACATGTGTGTGTGTTTGGATGGGTACTGGTGAATAAAAAAACACAACTCAGTTTTCTCTAGAGTGAACTATATTTTTTTTTCGTGTAATTTCCTCATACATATACATATATATAGCAGCCTGGTAATCAAACTGTTATGCACAGTGGTCTACTCGGTGCTAATAAAGTCACTTCACCAAATGATGGTGTCGGTGTACTAGAGGATATTGGACCGGCTGGTGCTATGCCTGCTTCAAATTCTACTGGTCTACCGTATGGCGCAAATACCGGTGGTGGAATGCACTTTCGTAATGCAACTGGATTGTATAGTGGTCCAGATGAAAGTATGGCTAGAGATATGGATAATATGGGCATGGGAATTGGTGGTGGGATGACAACAGAGACAACAGCACCAGAGAATGCTGCTACTGGCGGTGGTGAACAGGATGACCTGCAGAGTCAATCAGGGTAAGTGAGCGTTGTGATTGGCAATATTTTCTTTGGTTTTCCAACTGGAACATAAGGCTTCAAGCTTTAGTTTTGATGTGTTGTTAGTAGATGTGATTTTGTTACTTCTGTGAGGTGAAAGGTTGTTAGTAGCCCCTTTCCTTCCTCTCTACCGCTTAAGCATTGGCCGAAGATCAAACCCAGGACCACGTGGGGGTGGTTTGCGAGTATTCTGCTTAATGCACCAACAATGCAGTGTTGGCAATGTTTTCTTTTCTATTCATTTCAGTTCTCACTGGAATGTATGGCTTCAGACTAGTGCTTCGAAGTTTCAGTAGCAGTGGTGTTTTTACGGGATAGGGTTGTTAGCCCAACCTTCCCTCTTTACCACGTTTTTTACTACCGGGTTGACGAGGTAAAGGGAGTGCGTTGGTCGGGAGTCGGACGCCGGACCACTTGCGCGGTTGACCAATAAGCCACCGATGCACACGACTGGCATTATGTCATTATTATTCCCTTGGTGTCCGAGTAGAATATGGGGCTCCACTAGCACATCTCCATTTCACCCTGTCCTCTGCAGTCACCTTTGGCCGGGCCCAATGATTGCCGCCCATACGCTTTTGCCTCTTCCTCAAACAATCCGCTCCATGTCACCTTCACACTTACACATAGCTCTTTGTTATCCATTTGAGTTCCCGTCGAGGACCTGGTGCACGATTTCATCCAACGGTATCCTCCATTTTCTTCTACATATTTGTCGTGAGCAACAGATTCTTGATTGCTTCATTACCAGAGTTTCATGTTACTAATCCTTTCCGACCATATGTAGTTTTCAGCATATAGAGTCAGCAAAGACAGTTGTTGATAAATGTCTTCAGTAGTCTGTTGGAAATGCTCTACATGACACGTCACGAAGAACTCGCTTGACATTGGTATTGAAAATTCGAATTTTGTTGTTTATGCTGAGGGCAAAAGATTTGTAATCCTGGTTTTCACATCCTCATCGGTGCTACATGTATTTCAAACAATACTGTTTAAATGTAAGTGAAGTAAATGACCTCTCTCAAATTTCTCTTACCGATGGTGATTGGTTATCTTCTCTTTGTTCACTTGAAGTGCTGTCTTCACTGCCGCCTGCGTCTCCTGTCAACTTGTTGTTGTTGTTGTTGTTAGTTTTCGTATGTGTGTAGGTCTTCGAATTTATGTAACCAGTTAGATATAAATCCTCTACGAAGTCCTAGATCTTAAACAACTTCGATGAGTTTTCCGTTGTAGATCATTTGACACCTGGCATTGTCATATATATCTGTCTTCTGCATAGTCTACTTCACCAATACGGTAATATACACGTATACATATATATATATATATACATATATTGTGTGTGAGTGTGTATTGTCTGCTGATTGATACCTGAGTTTCCTTCAAAATCATGAATTAACCATTTACTGCCGTATAAATCAGTTATTAATAATAATGATAATAATAGTAGTTACAGGATTTCATCATGAGCTGACCTCGGTTAGAGAACCTGGGAGTACTGAACGGCTGTTTCGTCCTAGTTTGGGACTCTTCATCTGTACGCGCAGCCGCCGGGACCTTTTAGGTACATGGCGAGCAGCAGCTCGTAGACCATTTAGCCACTGGGACCCAATCCAATGGCCAGCACCCATGAATTCTAACTTCTGTCAGTTCACGACATAGCGCAACTGCGCTAGCCAATGTTTTGGTCAACCAATCAATCAAATCGGCACAAAGCGATACTTCAATAATAGTAGTAGTAATAATAATAGACCTATGTTAGTCAGTCCAAATAACAGTGGATTCACTACACTTTCGGTTATCATATTCTGTTTCGATTGAATCTCTGAAAATTACATAATCAAATTGTTGCAAAGTGTCGTTTTAATTTCCCTCTTAATTAGTTGTTAGTACATCCTAGGGTTTTGTTGCTATCTCCTAATCAGTTATCCGAAAGTGGTAGTGTTATCAAATTGTATGTTTATATTGTATGCAGTATGATCGTTTCTCTCTTCCTCTTTTCGTGTTGGCTTAGGTGATTAACGTTCATTTGTGTCTGTATATGTGCGTGTCTTCTCATAGGATTCAGAGACGCCTTCCAATTGTATTGTTTCCTCTCTATGCCCTCGAGTTTCGCTAGATAACAAAGTGTGCAACTCACTTTGTAAATTGTCCGTAGATATCACTGATGGACATCAGTGATTGGAGTGAATTATTTTATAATCCAAGCAGGGGGCGGTGGGGTGTAGTACTACATGGTGGCTTCATTCTAGTTCCAGACTATTCAACACTATGCTCATCCAGAACCACCCCACCACCAAGGACTGAACTGTCAACCCTGAGACTCTTGTATCAGTGATATACAGTACCACTGTTATCCTACTATATCTGTAATTTGATAGATTCCACTTGGTCGCGACTTCTCACTATAAACTTTATTCTTTTAGTGATTTTATGCTTCTCTAAGTGACGTCATTTCGGTGGTCGAACTCGAAATCAGTGAAATCCCTGCAAGTCTCAGCATATAGTTGACTGATTGGTTGGTTGACTGGTTTTTGAATGTAGATCTCTGCACATACAGAAGTGCAGCAGTTTCTTGTGTTGTCACATTCCTCTATGTATCACACAAAGGTAAACAAAAGAGAGAAAATATTGGCTTCACTCACACACACCCACACACACGAACTTTACGGGTTGTTTTCGTAATTTGACCATATAGTGCGATCATTAGCCAATGTGATCGGCAAATATTTGTCCACACACCCTGACCTGCTATACCTCACTGGTCACAACTTCTCACTAGAATCCAGGTAGGTAGTTACCTGGATGTTCACTAGTGACTGAGTAACTGAAGTCGTGACGCCCAGGGAGGAGTCCACTATCCACCGGGTTGTGTGTGAGGATGAATACTCGACGGTGACATGTTGTCTGACAGTGGCGGTAAAAATCGCTAAAATTGGCTGAATTTAGAATGAATGGATCGATTATTTGATTCCATCCCAGTGGCTGGCTGAATGGTTTACAGGGTCACCTTGTTAGCCTGAGGGCCCTCCGTTTGACCCTCCGGTGAGGGTGATATGGTGGTGTGAGTGATTTCTGATGAAGAGTTCCAGACAGACGAAGTCATGAAGTCATTCAAGAAATCGGTGAATATCATCTTGTCCGAACTCTCTGAACATCCATCCTCTGTCTATAGCAGTCTCTCCTTGCATTTCATCAATTAGGATTATATAAAAGCAGTTATGAAAGACTTTATGCTCGGACAAAAAAGTATAGCAACTCAACGATTTACATGTATAAATATAAACTGTATATTTTTTTCTTTCTTCTTTTCTTCCATTTCAGTTGTTGTGGTTGTCTTGGTCGACGTTCAAAAGGTCGACGACTTCGATCTCAGTTTATATGAATGAATGAATTCCCCATTGTCCTTTTTTTCTCTCCTGGTTTTTATTTATTCAACTCTGCCTCTGTGTCAATCTCTCTCAGTCTGCCTCTCTCACTCAATATCTCCACTGTGTAATTCCCCCACCGACCGTTGTTTTCTGTCTGTGTATGCAGATGTCTGTAGGTGCGTGTGTGTGTGCGTGTATTCAACGCATCACATCCATTTTTTTGTGTGACGTGTTTGGCATTTAACCCCGCCCCGCCCCACCTTCACCCCCTCGAAAAATCAATAATCAAAAATTCTTCAATCACAAGCGAAAATAGGAAGAAGAAGATGACGATAAGGAATCATCGATAGCAGAACATGTCAATCAATTATACGGTGCATGCGTGATCTCTGTCGCACTCACTCCGTGCGCGTGTGCGTGCGTGCGTGTGTTTGTGTGTTTGTTAGTGTGTCTCTGTGTACACAAAATATGATACAGTGAAGAAAAAAAAAGCTTGTCAACAAAAATCTCAGGATCTATTATTTCAATTTTATCCTTCTCTGCTCAGAAATTATTCGTATACTCTTGTCACTACACACAATACATACTGTTCCTGTAACGCCCTACCCTACCCCACCCCACCTCAACCTCCCATTATTTCAAATGTACTATATATATATTATATTATGTAGATGACCTGTAATCTTTTTTTCTCTCTCTCTCCCTCGTGTATTTGTTGTCTGTATGGGTTGATTTCACTTACCACGATGTCCTCTGTTGTCCCATTTGATGATCTCTCATTGTCTCTCTCTGTTCAATGTTTTTTGGCTGTTGAGTCTTTCAAAGTGCCCTTTTTGGTGTTATTTATATAAAATGAGAATGCATTGCGCAAGTGATCGATTAGTCGTGGTGATGGCGGTGATAGGATGATGGTCATAGGGACACAAAAATCCTTCTTTTACACTTCTTCTTCCACTTCGACACATCAGCATCACTCCCCTACCCCACCCCATTCCGCTGGCTATATTCACACACACACACACCCATATATTTATATACTAACACTGAGTGTTATTCATGTTCTTCTCTTACTTTTTTGACTAGAAACTCTCTTAATTAATTCATTTATAGACGTAGACATACCTACTTGCTTTAAAAAAATGAAACTGTTTTTTGATTTTGATTTGTCAAAATGTCAATAACGAAATTCAAAGGGAGGGAGGGAACTTCCATTTTTCCCTTTCTGTTTCTCTCTTCCTTCGTGAGTTTCCCTAGGATTTTTGAAGAAATCAACAGCGATCGATGTGTGAATAATGATCACACTTTATTCGTGCACAATATCACCGCCCTCTGTCTTACCATTACACTATGATTATGATGATTAGTTTGACTGTCAATGGTCTCCCCCGTGTCCTTTTTTTCTCTCTCTCTCTCTCGCCTAACTGTGGTTTGTTTTCTTCTAATATTGTTTTTTCTCTGTTGCGTAATCTGTTCTCTATCTAATCACTACACAATGATTGAAAAAAACATGCTTGTTTTTGTGTAATTTTTTATGTGCTTTAGTTTCATTTCAGGGTGACAAATTGAGAGAGAGAGTAAAATACAACTGTCACGCACACGCATACACACACATATACATAAGCACACAATATTTATTTACTTTTCGCTTTTCTGCTGCATCCTATCCCATCGCTTTCTTCTTCGTCTCTCCACCTGTTTGTTGTGTTGTGTAATCTGTGCAGTGTTTTCTTGGCCCCCTCCTGCCCCTCCTCCATACTTTTTAAATTATAATGAGAACAAGAATCAACATCCGCGTTCACCGGCAGTGTGAAATCCTTGAAGTAGTGCGTTCACAAAGAAAAGATCCTACCTACCAGTTATATGCCTCATTGTTATTGTAACTTGTTGATTGTTGTTATAGGGGTTGGGAGGGGGGTTGGAGTGTTGGGCGTGTTATTGATCTTTTACTTTCTTCTACTCTGTCACTCACTACGTGTGTTTTTTAAAATTTCTTATATGAGACATACATTCACACACATACATACAAACACACACATGCGAATATGGAAATTAAAAAAAACGAATGAGTGTGGGGGTATTTAGCCAGCCGAATTCAGAATCTGCTGTTGTACACAACTTGTACACTTGTCTAACTAACTATAGGCCTTTCTCTCTCTCTAACTCTGCACAGTATACAGCACACTGACAATCTTGTTCTCTCTCTGTGTCTCTCCTGCCTCACCCCACCCCGCTGTCTTTTCTCTGCCTTTTATGTGTGTATGCGTAGTAACTGTGACTCTACGTTTGACTTTATCAAATCTGATCTCAATCTCATTTTAGTCATTTATTTATTTGTATTTATCAATTTGGTTTTTAGTAATACATGTGTGTGTGTGTATGTACGTGCACGTATATATATGATCATAAAAATAGGTATGTGCCGTTCTCCTTATTTTGAAAACAAATACTATCCCTGCTTTGCTTGCACAATAATAATGAGTCAATTTTCCACCTCTTTTGTGAACCATCACTTCTCTACTTCGTCTTTTTGTCTTTAGCGTACCTACCATCCCTACCTTTCCACTCTCGTTTGAGCATGTTTTACACACAATTACTGAAGGGGGGGTGGGTGATGGAATACTAATGACAAAGCTTGTCCATCCCTTTTGTTTTTGTAATTTTCCCCTACACGAAGAAAAAAAACCAAGTGCTTCCATGAGTTTCAGTGTGTTCTCTTTCGCCACCCTCTTCTTTTTCCTCTTCTGTGTCTCATTTTCCTTTCCACTCGATTGAATAATTTTATAAGAATAAGGAAAGTATGGTTTTTGAGAAAAGCTGGGTACCACCACTGTCCTAATATTTATTGCTCTTTGTTACCAGGATCAGGAGGTGGGTGGCTGAGTGAGTGAGTGAGTCAGAGTTTTTTCGCGTCTTTAATTGTTTCAATCCCTCTTTCTGCTTTCCACTTTTCGCTTTCTGTCTCCCTCACATAATGATTATCAATTCTCTGATGACAGTTAATATATTATGAAGATGTGATTGGTGTATTTATGTGTGTGTGTGTGTCTTGATGACCATATTGTGAATAGCATTCTCATTGTTGTTACTATTATCGTTATTATTACTAATATATGCAAATCTATGTGTGTCATTTTATCCAATTGTAAAGACTATCCAATAGGTGCGTGCGTACGACATCTACCAATCAAATTTATCTATGTGTAGTGTGTGTGTGAGTGGGTGGGTGGCTGCAGAAAGGTACGCACCAATCGTTCCCATATGGTATGCGTAGGTGGATGCTTACGTGCGTGTATGTATTCAAGTGAATTATGTATACATATACAACTCATATATGTATTTTTCACACCCCCTGAACTGATTGATGATTGTCATTCCCTTGTTATTATTATTATTATTACTACTACTACTATTATTATTATCTAATATTATGATTACTATAATTGCTAATGTTTTACAATATGCGCTCTGTGTAATTCTCTTTTTTATGTGAGAAACAAGGAAAAAAATTGAAACGAAAGAAAATGAATTCTCCTTCTTACAATTTTTTTTCGATGTGTTTTTTTGCAGTTTAATGTCTTGTGCGTACATGTGCTAGGATGGATGGGATTTATTGTTTTTCGTTCACTAATCTTAAGTGTTTATTTTCTAACATTAGTTTGTAGGGATTTGATTGATTGATTACAGGATATCATCATGAGTTGACAGTGGTTAGAGAACCATGGGAAAACCAGCTGGAAGTACTGGACAGTTGTTTCGTCACTCTAGTTTGGGACTCCTCAACCCCGGTGAGTGCGTACTGCTTAAGTGTTTATTTGTAGGGATTTAATGGTGTTTTCGAGGTTCGACGTCCCCACCCCCACCAAGCGGTGGACGAACTCAACCTGACCTCACTTCATCGGAGGGAGAAAAAACTCATCATATTTATAAATTCCCAACCACGTTGAAGTTCGCTTAGGTCCGAAGAGAATAAATTGTTCTCATTGGCTGGCAATTGACCCAAGATTAAACAAATTGCCCAGTGAGGTTAATTCATATCCACAATGTGAACTAAATCCAGATTTATGAAATAAACACTACATCTGTCTATAGCGATTGATTTCAAATATCCAGTCGAGGTTTGGCTACTTCCTATCGATATATCTGCATAACACGTAAAATGGGACGGTTGTGTATATGAGGCTAAGCGCATCTCACCCCATAGAGAAATGAAAAATTTCACTGCTAAGTAGTGACACTTTAAATCTGCTCCACACCGAACGCAAAAGAATTAATAGAAAGGGCTTCCAGAGTTGGATCACGAACTGATATGAATTAAATAGCCATTGAAAACTATGGAGCACTGAACAGTGGTTTCGTTCCAGTCTCAGACAACTCTTCAGGAGTGTATGCACTTAAGATCTCACTCGCGGGGAAATAAAACACAGAAGTTTCAAGTTTATAAGAGGAGTTCGTTAAAATGGGAATGGTAAAGGTCAGTTTCGGAAATTCTAACTTATGCGTAATTGTCACCCAATGTTGTTTATGACGTTTCCCAGTACTAGTACATGTTACGACCAGGAATACGACCCAGTAGACTATGGGCGAACACTAACTTAATGCTCGCTAGCTAATCTGTCCTAACCACAAGTCAACGATGACACCGCCGCGCAGCAAAGACAGAAGAGAAGAGTGGACGTTAATGAGAGAGGTTTTACCGTGTCAAAGAAAAGTCAAAAAATGACCTTGAGAAGCAGTAATGGCATTGATGAATTAAAACAGGAAACAACCAATAGGATTTCAAAGATCATAAGTAGGCTGAGAGAAAATCAAGTCATAAATCAATAAGTGTGGTGAGGGAAATACAAACAGACATGTAAAAGTGACATTTAGAAAATTAGGTCTACACATCAATACAATTATTTGTATGCTGATAAACTATTGTGAAGTCAAGGCCTTTAAAGCCATGGATTCTAGTAGTGATCACAGCGATACTTCAAAGACTTGTCTATTATTGTGAAAATATATAGTTTTGGAT